GTACACGCGTAAACACACACACACACACGCAAGTAGAAGCCGATGTAGATTCGCGCGGTGAATAACGCTAACTGACCGGAGCACAGTTTGTCACGTGACCTCCTCGATGGCGGGTCGACCCCGAAAAATTCGCGATATTTATTATGGCCGCGATATCTCTCTCTCTCTCTCTGTTCGTCTCTGTCACGAGAGATATTAAATCGTCGCGCGACGGCGTCGATTAATTAACGTCGCATCGGTCGACGCGAATTCTTCCCGACGTGGACATTTACGAGCCGGCCGCGATGCATTATGAGCGCGAAGCGCGAGCAGAACACGGAGGGAGGGGAAGGGAGTGTGCGGCGTCGGGCAACTTAGTTTCCGAAGCTTCTATTTGCGATCAATTACTCTTCGTGCAGTTAATTACTCTTCGCGTCTAGTTGCCGGCGAAACGTCGGCGGAAGTTGCGCTCCTTATTTTCGCGATGGCTCGACGCCGGGCGCTACGTAAGATACGCGAGCTTCAAGCCCTCCGTCGAACGCGATAATAACAAGGCGAGAACGAAAGGGAAAGAATTTCCCCTCCCGCTCCACGAGAGAATCTTTCGAGCGCCGCTCCACCATTGAATTAAACCCGACCGCGTCGAATTCGCAGCTCGGTGAGATTAGCTAATTTTCCTTAATTTTTTTTTTCCTTCAATTTTGCTCAAGCGTCGATGGCCCGACGAGGAGAGTTCGGCAATTCGCAGGTTCGGAAAAAATCTGAGACGGGAAAGAAGTACACACGAGACTAATGGCGCAACTAGTTTTTCTTCTTTTCGGCTGAGGAACGATTCCAGCGGAAATTTCTCATATTTTTGTTAATATCTCTGAACATAAAACCGTAAGAAGGAAGTATAAAAGAAAAATGTTCTATATAAAATTTAATAACATCCTATATTCTGTAACACTGTGATAAAAGAAGTCAATTTTAAATTAAGCAATGCGGGGTGGGAAAAAAATTTCTTGGGAAATTTCTCGGGATATTTTTTTTCTTGAAGTTCTCGTTACTGTGTTATAGAATATACACGGAGGAAAATATTTCTTTCTGGGCTTAATGAAATTTCCTTAATTGAAACGAATTAGTCTTGTGGAATAGAGCAATCGTACGAATATTTGATTCAACAAACTGCTTGCTTGGCTAAACAATAAATATCTTTACGTCAAATAATATATTTCTTCTATATTTTCATCTAAAAATTGCAATAGTTGTCACAAGCAATAAATTATTTGAAAGAAGTAACACTATGTTAGAAAAATATTAAAGAACTTCTTTTTGTTTCGTGGAACAATATTTCATGTATTATGAAATAATATTTATTTGTTGAAAGCAAAATATTATATTTCCTCAAAATAATATTATTTTTTCTATCACAACATAATTTACTCTAATGAAACAACATTTTCGCATTTAAACAACAAAATGATATTTGATATTAAATTATATTGTTTATATTAAACAAGCCCGAATCAATCAAACGCGTATATTAAATCCACAGGAGTCCTTTTCTCTGTGTATATGCTATTAAATACTGTATTTAACATTTTTCCAGTATTTCTTACAATTTCAGAGATATTGATGAAAAAATATGAAAAATCGCATTTTCCTCGAAGGAACGTTTTCACTCTTGGACCCCGTTTTTCAGCTAAAACGACGAAAAAACGGCTTTGTTATTAAGTCCATATGTGATTTCTTCCTGCGAGATTTTACGTTCTTCGGGGCGTGCAAGTTATTTTACCTTCTTTACAAGATCGTCGATTAGTGAAAAACGATACATAAAAGCCGACTTGCTCAATTAAAATGCACATATTAAGCAAGAGATCACGGCTAATGGATCTCTCGAACGTATACCCGACGATTAACCTTGAACCTCTCGGTTATTCACGCAAGCAAACATGGCCGGCCGATATTACCGGCTTCGTATTGTTTAACGATCTCCGGGCTCTTGCCAAAATATAATAAGTTCGCTCATTCACTCGCTCACTCGCTCTTTCATTCCAAGGCTGTGTTCGCCGTCCGGGTCTTCACTAAGACACGCGGATGCGAAGTTGGTCTAATTGGGCGACGACTCGATTTCGTGCGGTTTTCCCTCCCTCTATTCCTCTCTCTCTTTTGCTCTCTACGTTTTCTCTAGGCCACGCACGTAGCACAGGGGATCGTCGTCGTCGCCGGCGAAGGCTGACTGGCCGTCCAGCATTGTACCAAGAAAAAGGAATACGCGAACGTGGCGTGTAGTTTTACTCTTAAGTCGATTAAGCTCCTTTTTCTACTCGACCCTCCGCCACCCCTGGTCGTCCCTTGCGTTTTCATCCACCGCTTGTGTGGCCGCTGCTACTCCGGCCGCCACTACGGGGAAATATTTCGAGAGGCGGTTTGGAAAATGCGCGCGTGGGATGCCTCGCAGACAGACGTGACCGAGTGCCCGATCGGGGGTTTTATCCGAGCCCCCGAAAACAATGGTGGGCAAATTGGAAGGCAAGCGGCAACGGACGATACGCGCCGGGCGGACGCGCGAGGACTCCCGTGAGGCACGCCTGCGACGCGGCCGGCCTGAGTCCGTCTTCTCGGCTTTAAATATTGATTCCGGAGATCGGCGGAAATCAAACTAGTATTCTCCCCGGGGAGACGTTCTTCCGTGGAAAGTGGGAAGAGCCGTCCCAACATGTCACGAGACGTCGACGATACGTGTTCGCGAGCATATACAAGATGAAAGATAGAGATAGAGAAATAGATAGGCAGAAAGGGAGAGAGAGAGATAGAGAGAATTCTTTAAGAATTCGTTGAAACTTGCACTATACATACATTTAAATATGACATCTAATTATTGGCGCAATTATAAATAGATTGACTATTCAAAAGCTGCGGTATTCACAACTAAAGACACATTTTATACGTATTCCTTGAAATTAATTACCTATTTTCCACTTCTATTTTTAATTACTTCTAAACCGTATTTAGAATTTTAATGAAAAACTGTGATATTAAGAATTAATATAGACATTTTACAAAAATTTCAGAATTATTGAAACATTGACCATTTTATTTTCAAAATACAACAGAGCACTATTTATTTTGCGCTCTGAGTCAGCGACCACTTAAGTGCTTTAGCATAATATAATTAAAGAATCACTCCGCAGAAAATAATAATCAACATATTAGCATGAGATATAATTAATTGACCTGTACAAAGGAGAGAACAAAAAGAGCCGTAAGTGAAACAATAAAGAGAAATTAGCTTGATATAGAACAATCTGTTCATTATTCTATTTACTGAATATAATTATAGAGTTTAACCGTTTTAGTGCCAGGGGTTTTTAAAAATCCGTGTCGGATTGTGCCATGCAGCGCGATAGCGCTTCGTTCATTTATCTGCGAGTAACGCCGATCGACGCGATCGCGCTGCTTTTTTCTTCGTCGAAATATGCCGCCCGGCGCGCTCGCGCTTCATTTCATCAGTCATATCAGAAACGTTATACTAAACACTCAAAAGTTTGCGAAATTTGGAACCGAGCGCGTTGCGAATTGATGATCGCGACCAAACATCGCGGCACATTTCACCACAGTAGGCGAACAGCGCGATCGCGCTGCGTGGCGCTAAAACGGTTAATCTTGAAAAGAGAGAGAAAAACACGTATATTTTAATACTTATTTGGAACGACCGATTTTCACGCCATCGCTGGCGTAATTAACATGTTGACGTTAGAGAACTACGTTCCCGATATCATCTCAAGAGCAAGAGCGTGTTATTTTAACACGCCAATTAATTATATTGAAGAGGCTTAAGAGGTTAAAAATAGATTATTATGTTATTTTGATTTTAGCGCTTTTTTCCTGTATATTAATTATTCGACAATATTCGCGATAAAAGTACTGCAATATGGTATTTTGTACCACCAAAGGGATTATTATTCTCGTTGTAATGGAGTGCAATTATATATTATAATTAAAAAAATTATTTCCAAAAGTACCTCTATGCGAGTTAATTTGCATCTGCACCATTAAGAGATTTGAAAAACATGCCCATATTAGTGATTCTTTTTTTCTTTAGGTCGACGTCACATGTAACAAAACAAATAAGAACTGCATGACTTTTATAATTCCATCTATCTTTGGTAAAAATTATCCGCTCTTATGATAATAGCCAGAAATGAACGAATATATCCGCTTAAATGAATGGCGTAAATGAATCAACTCGTAATGAAACAGAGAATTCTTTTCGCACGCCAGCTACGAAATAACTCGTATTTGGCAGTCAATATGTCGATGATTAAAGAAACGCGCCGTACCTCGGCGATTAAGATAATTGTAGCACAAAATGAGTTCTTTAAGAATTCGTTGAAACTTGCACTATACATACATTTAAATATGACATCTAATTATTGACGCAATTATAAATAGATTGACTATTCAAAAGCTGCGGTATTCACAACTGAAGGCACATTTTATACGTATTCCTTGAAATTAATTACCTATTTTCCACTTCTATTTTTAATTACTTCTAAACCGTATTTAGAATTTTAATGAAAAACTGTGATATTAAGAAGACATTTTACAAAAATTTCAGAATTATTGAATCATTGACCATTTTATTTTCAAAATACAACAGTATATAATTTATAACTTATAGAAACATTCGAAATACATATGTATATGCATATATTTAAATATTCACATACCTCTTTCTACTACCTGTGCAATCCTATTAGGTTAACTAATGCACAAAAATATCATTAATAAGAAAAATAAAAAATAATAATAACATTTCATATTTGTAATATCGTGTATATATGTCTATTTCAACTTTGTCTTAAATTAACTTTTATTATTTACTAGTAAAATAAATGTATAGAAACATAATTTTGCTTGATAAATACTAAATTTGTGAATGGCTTCCTTAATATGCCATTGAAAATGCGGCACAACTATCTTAAAGGACCGGGGAGAACAAAATCTTGACTCGAACTTTGCGGTTCTGATTGCAGCCGTTTTCGTCGAGTGCTCTCATGAAGTCATCACTCAACGGAGAACATGGAGACCGACTGCTTATCGATAATCGCTAGGCTGTGCATACTACTGATGCTGTTCGGCCCAGTCACAGATGTCCACTCGCTCGACATACGTAAGTACAACTTGAATCGCCGGACATTCGAGCCCTTGATCATTCACGAAGGACGAAAGCGTCTCTCCGACAAGGAAATGTACACAACCTGTCCCTCATCGATTCGGATGGGCTTTGAATACGGGTAGAGCGGCTAAAAATAATCCCTCGCACGTTTAGGGGTTGAAACCCCCGATGGTAATTCGATGAAATTGAAATTCGGAACACCTATGAAGCTCACAAAAATTGCATCGAGAGATAGTTCTGCATATTTTCTCGTAAAATAATTCTTGCCAAATTTCTCTCCCGTATCATTTCTTATAAGTTGACGCTCGGAGAGAAAACATATGTTATAATTCGATTTTACGTACACTGAGAGAAATTATAATTATTTTCGGCCTCGACTATATCTTTTTTATAATTTTCACCACAAAAATAGCAGCAACAATATGCGTATAAAGGTATTATCGCTGTAGTAACGTTTACTAGAAAAATGGTTCTCCTGTCTATAATTCTTTCATTATGACGATTATAGTTACAAATAATATTTTTCTCTCGGTGTATATTCTCTCTTTTCGATCAATCTCGGAGGATTGTGCATTTCGTCAATTTTGCGGAATCATTTTCAGGGTTTCATTGTTACGAAATAATTAGGTTAAGCAGCGATCAACGCCGCGCATATTCGGTTCACGAGAACGCCAAGTCTCTGAGAGACGGTAATCCAACGTGGGAAATTGACACATATCAACGATTCGCGAAGATATTCGCGTGAACGGTTCCGCTCGATTTGCAGTCGCGCTATTTCCAAATGGAAGGAAAGGTCAGAATATGGCCAGAGATGCTTGCTTGTACTTGCAGATATCCGTTTTTAATGTCATATGAGGCGAAAAACGGCAGAGCGAGAAAGACGCGGCTAAGATCGAACTCGGGTCTTCTGCTTGCCAGGCAATCTCGCTCTCTCATCACCGAGCTATTTAAGCTCCACATTAGTGGCATCTCCTGCTTTCTTAATTAAGATAGTTTAAAAATAAAACGAGTTTTTCTTTTAAGAATTCGTCGAAATGTGCATTATATGTAGATTTAAATATATGATCTAATTATCGGCTCAGTTAGAAAGCGATTGACCATCCGGGAACTCGGGCATTCGCAACTAAAATGACCCCTTTTATACGTATTCCTTGAAGTTAATGTCCTATTTTTATCTTCTATTTTTTATTTCTTTCAAACCACATCTACATATTTTGAGGAGTAGGAGTCGCGTAAGGAGATTCACGTAATAAAGGATGCACTCTGTTTTATGTCCCTTACGTTCTCTCTGGCTCACGTGGTCTATGCGAGTATCCGCGAACGAATGAGAGAGAACGCAAATGAGAGAGGGACACAAAACAGAGTGCATTCCTTTCTGCGTGTACTTTGACCCCCACTTGGTCCAGATATATAAAGCATCACACACACACACACACACGTACGTGTAATTTTAACAGCTGTCTGATCATCTACTACGCATATTCGTGAATCACAGCTTCGCTTTGTCGTAATTTTGGCATGTTCCAAGACATGTCAAAAAAAGAAAGAAAGAAAACTGCTGCAGCCGTGCCCAACTGCACGCACGTACGCAAAACGTGAAACGATTTCGGCCAGCCCGAGAATCCAACGAGCACACCTCCACCCTCCTGGTTTCACTTACCACGTGGAAAATAAAACCCGAAGATCGCACGGCTCTATTTCCCGGCGAAATTACTATTTCTATCAATCCCTCGCGCCATCCAGACGAGCTATCGATTTCGATTTCCGCGCGCACGATTGCGCCTTCCGCCGAGGCGCGAGTGCCTGCCTGCCTGCCGGTCTTACATCCCCGAGTAACTTAATATTTCGGGAGTATTCCGACGAACATTAATTACGGGGGAATATCGACCAGCAGGAATATACCGAACGCCGATATATTCTTCGAGCCGAAAGGAGCCAACATGGTAGAACAATACTCGCGCAATTTTCGCTGCGACAGACAATCGCAAAGCGGAGAAAACGCTCGTGCAGCCAGCTGCGCACGGGAAGTCAAACGTCGCGTTTCCGGGAGGAATACCGGAGCGTTGCAACTGGGGAGAGCCCGTGTCGAAGTTACCATCCTTACCTCTTACCTTCCCCCCCCCCTCCTTTCTCCCTCACTCTTTCTCGATCTTCTTCGCCTTCCCGGCCGGCCGTCAAATTTTTCATCGGGAGCAGGTGATTTCCGAGTTTTTATTTTCTCACGGCGATGGCGATGGGGGTGCTATCACTCCGCGGTAATGACTCGCTATTCTCCATCCGCCCGGGGGATCAATTATTTTGAATCCAATGCGACAGGATAAATTGCATCCCGCGGAGGGCCCCTCGCGCGCCCCCCTCCCCCGATCTCGTCCCGTGCCAAGATTCCGCCGGTCTCATTCTTACCGGCGCGTCGGGCGTCGGGGTGGAGAAGCGATTTTGCGCTAAAAGGCGCGCCGCCTTCGGAAAACAACCCCTCATTACAGCCGTACACACCGAGAGCCGGCTCATAGCTCGACAAATTGGTCCGAAAACGGCGTCTATCGATTGCCCGCTCTCGTCCGTCGCTTCCTCGCGTGCGACTCGAGTGTTCGGAATATTCTTCCGCGGAGTCTACATGCAGGCGGGGGTTGCGCGAACGACGCCGGTCTGCAGCTCCGTGCGATACATTTTCACGTCTTATCGCGCGTCTCGCGATTTCATCGCTCCCGCGTCGATCTCCCGCGGATAATCAAGGCCCACGGGAAGTTGCATCTCGGTTGCTCAATTAATCTCGCACTCGCGAGATTTCTTCCGGCGGAATTCCACCGGGAAGGCAGAGCGATCGGTCGAGTAATTTGAATGCGAGTGACTCTTCAGGATGTACAGAATGAATCCTCCAATCTACGTCGAGTGAATATTTTCATTGGGGATTGAAGAGATCTGATGAACCCGGCGGTCACAGGAGCAAATTTATTCTAATTTATTGAAACATTCGCTCGCATGGATTAAGGATACGTACGAAAGAAAGAAGAAAAGTCCTAGTAGAGCTGGACTTTCGGTCTTGTGATTCCGCGTTACTTTCATTTAATCGCCTCGAGTGAGTTTTGATTCGTTTTGAATGAAATTTTACTCCGAGAAATTGGAAAGTATAAAACGTGCGCAGAAAAATATTCGGTTGAATCAAATTTCCGACAGCAGCGCGTTCAGAGTAAATTTTCTTGATTCAGTAGCCAATATCATTAAAACTACTATTATGTTATGTATTGTTTCAATAATTAAAGTATTAGTTCAATGTTCAGTTCAATAGTTTTAATAATATCGTCATTGGATCAAAAAGACCCACTCCAATCACGCATGCTGTTGGAAATTCTACTGAACAGCATTTTTTCCGTGTAGTTAATTGTGTCTGGAAGATCGGTTGCAAGATCAATAGATGACCGATAAACAAAATCACTCTAATCGATTAGAATATTCGTTCATATGTGAATTAAGAATCTACTCTAATTCAGGATCAAACTCCTGTAATTTCAAGTGGTATTATTTTCACTATCAGTTCGAATGAATTTTCGAATTATTTAGTGAGATTGCATTTTAAAAAATTCAGAGAATATAAAAGACAAATTATAATTGCGTCTAAAAGGTCAGTTGCGGGGCTATTAGAAAGCGAAGAAAATTCTCTATAATTGTTTGAAGCATTTGTCCGGATTAAATGGATTAAAATGGTTGTACCGCAGAGTGCCGCATTGTCAGTAGCGCATCAAGGAAGCTACTTACAAATTTAATATTTATGAAGTAAAATTACGCTCCTGTACGTTTATTTCGCTACCTAAATAATAAATATTAATTTGAAACAAAGCTCAGGCAGACATACATACGCAAAATCACAAATACAAAAGTATTCTTTCTCATCTTTCTTATTAATTTTTATATCGATGCAAATATTTCTTGCACTCAATTTAAGATTAAAAATCTTCTAGAATTATTATTCTCCCTCATGTATGGAGAATATTTATCGTTGATTTAAAAAACTATGTTTTCTGTGCAGTACGAGTTATCAACGATGCGCTATCGCTTCGGATGAATTTTCGCTTGTTTTACATGAAATTTCGTTTCAAAGAGTCCAGAGAATCAGATCGAAATCTTTGTTGGGGCGAGAATACTCGAGCGAAAGCGGATCGGTTAGTGAAAATGCGCGACGGAAGACAACGGGGAAGTTTGAATCGCGCTGATGCTTTCTGCGAGTGTATTAGCGTGATCTGGGCCGGAACGCGCTCCAATTATTTGAATCGAAGCGGATCGTTGATTCGTGTGGAGGTGTTCGAGCGCGAGGAGCGCGAGTCTTTTTCACAGCGGGGAACTCCCCAACGGGATTCTTTCTTCGTCAGTCGATTATCGGCGTACATACATACATACATACATATATATACACACACGTAACGCCGTGGTTTCCGGAAGATCGTTCAAACCGCTTAAGAAGTTCACCGAGATTATTGATGTTTCCGCGAAGCCCGCAATGAAGGAGCCCGTGTCTCCATCTCCGCTTCGCCGTAATACGATCTAGGATGATGCACGTGCCTAAAATAACGTCGCGCTTTCTCCGCACGCAACACGCGAGTTTATGTGAGAATTTCGCATTCGACGGGGAACCTTAAACGACTTTCCTCCACTCGTCGGCTGCTCGAACGCTCCTCGTATTCGCGAGCCATTTTTGCAATTTATCGTACGACGAAAAAATTGAGGGACCGCTTTTTAGCGAAATACTCGCGTTCTGAGATATAACTGAAATAATCATTATATAATAATAGCAATATTTAATAATGCAGTTTATTTGATTTCGCCAATAACTCATAATCACTTTAATAACTCAAAAAATATCTGAATTGGAGTTAAGGAACGGTCTGACATATGGAAGGTCTCGATATTTTTATAAATTAGCAACATTAGGACAGTTATATTCAGGTACCTAAAACTTCATTCGTATATGTAGAAAATTAATGTATTCATGTAGTAAACAA